CCCGCGCCTTGTACTTTCCCCCGCGCCCCGCACCCCCCTCGGAGCCCCCTGGCTCTGAACCCGCCAATCTATACTACTGACCAAGTACTTTGCTTGGTATAGAAGTATAAACTGCACGAATGTGTGGTAAATACACATGTACGTCTCCCCTCCCTAGTATATACTTTTAGGAGCGCCGTGCGAGTGCGAGCTTACTTGGCTTCCACTCTCAGTCAAGACGTTGAGGTATATGGTCTAGAAAGGCCAAGCTGTTTGTATTCTTTAAATATATTACTTTATTCAGTAAAGTTCTCCTTTTCTAATCACTTCAAGAACAGCCCATCCTAACATATTTGATTTAATTTATTAACTAAATATATTGCATCATGCTATAATTTTGTAGATCATATCTATGTTTTTTATTGATTCTTATTTGCCTTATTCTATCTTTGTTTTTTAATAAATATGTAAATGCATCTTTTTCTTCTTTATCGCTTTATTATACGAACTAAAAAAATTAATTTCAAATAATTATATAAAAAAGAATCTTGGCGCCGCATCACCAAGCTTGGCTTTCTGAAAAAAGTATCCTGGCGGCACCAGGCTTTTCCAAAAGAAAGTATTCTGGAAGAATACCGTCATTGGCTTCCTTCTTCTATAAGCCACCTAAGCTCGATTACTGAACGTAATTACGTGTAAATAATACGTATACATGATAGTGATGACTAGCAATACATATGTATCGTCATTTTATGATCAACGAAACGAATTACTAAAACTGTAATAGTACTGCATGTGTCCCATTATGTTTATATTGATTTTCTTTTAATAAAAAAATATTCAAAATTTATTGTTTAAATTAAAAATTCTTTCGACATTTACATGACAATCATATGGATTAACGATTCGTTTCGTTGATCATGAAGAGACGATACATATGTATTGCTAGTGAAGGGTATATACAGGGAGGGGCATTTAAAACAGGTCACCTGAATAACTCGCTTGTTTTTAACAATAGAAGAAAAAGTGTCAAACAAAAGTTGCTTGGTTTCGGGGGACACATAATGTGATGTCAATAATTGTTTTTTTGGTGGAGGCGCTAAAAAGATATGAAGGTCACCTCCACTTTTTTAAATGGAATTATTTAATTTTTTTTAGATAACGTGATTTCTCTAATTATTTTGCATATAAAAGTATTAAGGTAGAGATACGAAAAAACCAATAGTTTTCGAGATATTTTACACTTTGTTTTGATAAATATTGACACAAAATGTTAAATAACTCGTAAACTGTTGACTTTTTGATTATCGTACATTAATACTTTTGTGAACAGAATAATGAGATAAATCAAATGGTGTAAAGAAAACACATAGTTGCGTATTTAAAAAATTATACATTTCGTATACATATTTTTTTTAAAGTATTTAAAAGTTTTATGTAGGTATTACAGTATACTGTTCTAGGAGGAAAGAAAACTCGCGCTTTTGCGTTAATTATTGCTTATAAATTACTAGCACTAAGTGATCAACTTACAGAAGAAAATATTCGTCTTGTACGAATTTTAACATGGTGTCTGGAATTGATAATTGTGCACAGTGGTCCTCAAGCATATTTAGATTTAACTAAAATGTACCAAAATTCTGCTAGCGCAGATTTGTCTGAAATCGTCCCAGGATTCTAAATTCACTAGTCCGAAAATCGTAGCTAATTCTGTTTTCGAAATATATATATATATATA